ATAAAGTTATTTAAGAGTGGACACCCAAAGGTGCTTTTTCAACTGGACAGTCATTTGACTGGGATGGGATCAGCATTCCTTTCCTGGGCAGTGGGTTGAACTAGATGATCTCCAAGATCCCTTCCAACCCTATAACTCTAAGCAGCTCTCACATACAGGTTTTGGTACAAAAATCTGTCCCTCTGGTATTTGGCAGCCAATCTGAAATATGAAGATTGAATAAGTTTCCTTCATATGGTGATATATCCAAAAAGGATGTTCTGAATGCAATGAAAATAACTCAGTATATCATTTCTCTGAATCTTTTAGTTCTCTGTAGATATTAATAATTTATGTCATAAGTTCAATGCAACCAATTACATATATTGGGCCAGCAAGTATCATGTCTCCACCTAAGCAATTATCTCAGCTTTCTTCAAAACCAGAAAAGCAAGATCTAGCATCAGCTACTGACAGAAGCCTAGACATAGCATAACCATCCAGCTATAACCAACAGAAAACTTAAACATTTAATAAGAAGGAAAGGAAAGGAGGGAAGGGGAAAGGGACGGAAAAGGGGAGACAAAGGAGAAGGAGAAGGAAGAACTAGGCAAAGATCAAGGTTATGCTCATATTTTTGATGTTTATTCTACATCACATATGGCATTCCTCAAACTTTGCTAAAGAAAAGTGAACTGTTCATTAGATAAAAACAAACTTTTCTGTAATATCTGATGCCCCATTAAAACAAATTACCTAGATATTCACCCAAAGTTTTGTGCGGAAAAAACTATATTGAAGTCTTTAGATTTCTTCTTGCCAATTGGTCTCAAAACCAGCTTGATGCTTCCCTAAATTTTAAAAAGTGGCTCTAAGGCAACATAAATTATTACACACTTTGTGTCTCTTGGAAGCCAATCCAGGGCTGTTTAATGACCTTGTCTAAGAAATGTGTCTTTTTCTCAGAAAAATGGATTATACTAATATTTTAATGTGAACTTTGAGGTATTTACCTGAAAAATTGAATTTAAGGAACTAAAATGCATTAATTGCTTTATGATATGATTTATATTTTGGTCTTCAATGGGTTTCTCTGATGAGTCAAGAGACTGTGATTAATAATCTGGGTTAAAAACACTTTTATCCCGCTGTTCTAATAAAGAGCAGTCAACAATAATTTACTTGCCTGAACACTCCAGTTGATCAAGATGAAAAAAGTAAGCTGGTCCAGCTTTTGTGGAAGTATAAAAACAAACTGAACTTCTGGAACTGAGTGTGATTCCTGACTGTGCAGCTGAGTATCAGAAATGATATATGGTGTATGGACATACACTCAGAAGACAATATAAGTTAATCAAGTAAATTAATAACAATTGCACTATAATGCTATACATGTCTGTTATGAAAAAAATCCCTAGAACTCAGCGGGGCTCATTGAGAATATGAGGATGGCTAGCTAAAACCTCAATCAATTTCAGCATCTAAGCAGGGGGGAGAAAGCAACAATTAAAAAATCCACTGGAAGTCATTATATAAATCCTTTTCCATTCAAGAAGATTTCACAGAAAATAACCAAGAGAATTGGTATCATTTTTTTTAAAAAAGTACCCATAAATTTGCCCCAGGATTAGTCTTTATTTCTATAAAATAAAAAACATAAAACATGCCATGTCTATAAAAAGTTTTAAAAGAGCATCGTTTGGAAAATGCATGAAAAGAATGTCTAGGTTGCAAATTTTAAAAAGGCAGTCAATGTTTCTAGGCTGCAGCAACATAATATGCCAGAGTTCACATCTTAAGATTTTTCTAAATTCCATCCGAGCCCCAGCTTGCCCAGTAATGAAGAATAAAAACTTGCATCTAACTCACCTCAGCTATGTATTCCCTATCACAAACAACACAAGACAGAAAATGTCCAAAGATTGTCTGCAATCAGGCTGGAATAGAAACATTCTTTTTATCTGGTTACTTGGTGCTGAAGAAATATTTTATTATTATATTTCAATTCCATTTCAACTCAATTCTACACATCTACTCAAGCATAAGCCACACTGACTTCAGTAGGCCTTATTACCAGATAAATGTTTAAAGGAGTCTTTTGTATTATTGCGTATTATTATTTAATCTGAGAATAAAATATTTTAAAAGAAGTAATTCAAGTGTTCTAAATGAGTTGAATGAGATCCTACATTGAATGAAGCTAATAGAGGGAGACAAATTTCATATCCTTGAGAAATATCAAGTAGGAAATTTATTAAGTGTAGTTCAAGAAGCAATAATATTATATATTTTAATGTCACTGAAATAGCAAATACCCTGCCTTAACATATAAAGACTACTAAACTCACTTCATATTAATGACAGAAGTAATGTCCAAGAGAGCCATCCTTCCTATTGCTAAAAAGATCAATAAAATTAGAGGGATAATATGATTTCATCTACATAAAAATTACAGGCATACTGAAAAATCCCAATAAACTTGATGAAATGGATGGAAGGAACTGGATGGAAATGGATGAAGATCATTTGTGAGGGTATTCCAGTTATCAGCAAAAATGTGCCACAACCCATTTCTGAGCAGTTCAAGCCTCATCTACATATGCCTAAACCCTACTTAAAATATAAAATGTACAGCGAAAGAAATTTTCCATCTACACTTCCTTTTTTACTCCTCTCAAGACACACTGCTTAAAACAGAATTTCAGCAATCTACAAAATGAGAAACGTTATAAGCAGATTCTCAAAATATAATATCATTAATCCAATCAGCCTCATTAAAATTATAGAATAAAAATATGCACTTTTGATCCACAGTTTGGTAAAACAACATTTGCTTTAGTGAATATATTTTTACTGAAACAAACTGGACATATTTCCCAGATCATGATGTCAAGGGATGGAGAGTTCAGTGGAAGTACTGCAACTGCAAAAGCACTCTCATTCAATCCCACCAATCTGACTTCTAAACCAAGTTTCTGGAAGACTTCAAGGCACAGAGAAATTAATGATTTTAACACAAAGCCACTACTACAAAGTTATCTGGAACAGCTGCAAGTAGTTTAGGCAGATACAATTTTATCTATTGCACATTGACTCAATCCATGACTGAAGAAATATCAAATTGCCAAAAGTAGCAATCAGGTAATCTTGTCATTGCATTACAGAGACCATTATATACAACTTGATATTCCAATTAAGGCTTACAAAGGAGAGAGTAGCAAAATATTTACCTTAGAAAAGGAAGCTCCACTAGGATAGTCAAGGACAATAGCAAGGAAAGTTATCAGCTTCCTATACATTCACTGTTGCTATTGCATCTGAGTTGTTGTTACCACCATCACTAGCAATATTTTAGAACTTACAGAATAAAAAGATTATAAAAGGAATCAGGAAAAAATGTATTCTACTATTACAACATACTTTCTACCTACTTTGATGTTAACTATTAATTGCATTAAAGTATAACTTAGTCTTGCAGATCTTCTGCTGAGCTACAGAAGTAAACATGTTTATATTACAACCTTCAAAAAGTATTTATGAAGAATAATAATCAATGCTTCAGCAATGTTCTCTACAGAATAAAAAAATCTGTATTATACTATACTATATTTTAGAAGATGAATCTAATTAGGAAAAACATCCAGAATTCCTAATATTCACAATGAAATCATATTAAAAGGAACCAGATATCGATCCTCATTTCAACTAACACTTCCCATCCCCCAGATTCAGCATTTTAGAAATGTAAGAATGTACCATATTCACATTATTTTGTAGTCAGCTTTGGAATCCATAAAATGATCCCATGTATCTTAAATAATCTATGTTCCTACTGATTCCATAACTCTTTTATAATATGTATTATTCAGAACTGTTGCAGTGATCCCCATACCAAACATTTATTTCTTGTAACATTTAAGTACTGAATGGCAAACTAAAATGTTATAGGTTATCTGCTGGGGGGGGGAGATGACTAGGGCACTATTCCTATTTATGATATTGAATCTCATCATCATCATACAGGCTTGTGGTAGCCCTAGATTTTGCACTTATATTAGATGAAAATTTCATGCTTTAAAATTATCACATGACCCTGATCAAAATCCAGTATATTAGGAGACAGAGCTAACTGGGCCCATCCCTAATTACCACAGAATGGAAGTTGATTCTCCAATTGTAGTTCAATTCCCATCAGATCAGTTCCAGTAAACTTAATCAATAATGTAAAATGAGAAATGCAGTCCAGACCAAAGTTGTTACAGGTTCCTTTTTCTACAGGGGAAGAGTATCTTATAGATTCCAAGACTACATCACTCCCAAGTCTCCAACTGCTGAGAGGAAATGGGGTGGGTAGAAATATAAATTGGTAAGGGAGGGGAAACAACATGGCCATAGGCCAACCATAACATGTCTCTTCTATTACACGAACATTTTAGTATTTAGTCCTGGAGAGCCAAATAAGTCCACTTACTAAAATGACTCCAAAGGTAGAGATAAACAAACCACTAAAAAGTGCTCCATCACTGGAGGTTTTTAAGAAGAGACTGGACAGCCACTTGTCTGAGCTTGTATAGGTTATCCTGCTTGAGTAGGGGGCTGGACTAGAAGACCTCCAAGGTCCCTTCCAGCTCTATTCTATTCTATTCGTGCCACTAAACCATTTGGGACATAGGTAGGCAACCTAACGTCACCCTGAATGACCTTTACTGCTAGTGGTACAGCATCACCTAAGACGCAAGGACCTTCTGCACAGCCCAAACCTTCACTGCATTTATATCAAGTTCTCAATTGGAATCCCTTTCATGAGAAATTGCCAGTCCGGTGGCCTAGAAAACTACCAGGCCAACACATTTCGGAAAGGCAAATCCAGATCGTTCGGTCAGCAAATCCAAAGCCATTTCCAGAAGTGCAGCCCAGCCCTCACTCCTCACCACCTTTGTGCTTAAGCCTCCGGACTGAACTTTTTTCTTTTTTACCCAAATCCCAAGCAAACAGCAGCAGCAGCCGCCGGTCCCACTGACCTGTCCGTGATTGCGGACTGTGTGCCACTCATTGGAGCCCCCGGCAACAGGACGATTTTTTAGCCAATCTGCATCTTACGGGCGATTCTCCAGCGACTGTCACTTTCCCACACTCCAGACCCGAGTTCAGAATCCAGCCGTATTCCAAAAGGAGAGCAGAATTAAAAGCCACACACGGGGTTTGTTTGTTATTTAGTTTGTTTTTCAGTCTTCCGAGAGATCCACCTCCCAGGACACTCGAGGAAAAGCCGCCACCGGGATCTTCTGGCAGGAAGAAAGGAAGGCCGTCACAGCCATGATGCGCCCCTCTGGAGACCCAGCTGTCGCCTCGGTCCAAAAGGGAGACCCATCTCAGTCGAAGGACACTTGACTGGCCGAAGAAGAAGACGAAGAAGACGACGAAGAAGACAACGAAGGTGCCTCTGGTTCAATTCCTCCTTCCCGGCCCTTAGTTCCCTCATTACAACCCCAGGATCTTCTCCAGTCTTTTACGGCATCCAAGTCCAGCCAGGTAGGTCAAAGAGAGAGGAGTCTTCCTCCATAGGCTGGGGCTGCCCCCCCCCTTTCAGAAAGACCCCCAAGAAAAACAACAGGAAAGGAACTAGAGGTGGGGGGTGCAGGAGGGGGGGTGGATTTGTTGTATATATTCAAGGCAGGGGAGCAGGAAAAATGGGGTTTTTTTCCAGCTTCTTCCTTCCTTCCACCCTTTCAAAAAAAAAAAAAAGATTTACGTCCAGGATCTCTGCAAGGTCTGGGTGCTGGGAAACCAACTCCCCCCCTCCAAAATAAGTCTTTATGGGGCGGCTTTTCAAACCTCCAGGGAAAGAACCACCCCCAAACACCCAAAAATACCCCAAAGGAGGGGGAAAAAGAAGGCAGGCAGGCCTTTTCCTTAAGGGGGTGTCAAAAAAAGTGGAGCTGCCCCTTCCAAGGGGGGAAGAAGCTCACACCATACCTTGAGACAGACATAAAAATTAAAATAAAATACAAATTGCTACATAGGCGAGGGGGGAAGGGGGCTTGTAGAGGGCCCCCCCCCGACAGTCCCGCGCCTGTGGGCCGGGTCGGAGGCGGAGGAGGAGCCCACCTTGGCCCCCCGGCCCGCTTCCTAGGCCTCGGCGGGCTTCATCCCGCCCTCGGGGGCTGCTGACAGGGCGGCTTGAAGCGGGAGAGACCCCCCCCCCTCCGGACGCTCCACCGGCGGCCCTTTCCGGCCCGCTCGGCCCGTCCCGCCTGAGGAGATTTGGGAACGACGAGCGTCCGCCGCGGCCGGTGAGGGGAGAAGCGGCTCTCCGCTGCCTGGCGAGCCGCTGCTTTGCTTCCTCCGCCGCCTCCGTCGTCCGCTTTTTCTCCCGCCGCCGCCGCTGCTCCTGAGGAGATCTTTTTTTTTTACCTCAGGCCAACGGTCCCCGCCGGCTTCCCTCAGCCAGGCCTCGGCTCCCCCTCGGCAACCTTCGGCCTTTTCCGGCACTCCCGGGACTCGTTTTTCCTTCGCCTCGGCTCTCCCGCTTCCCTTTGCGACGCTGGACTCCGACTCCCTCCTCCTCCTCCCCCCTCCCTCCGCTCTTCCCTCCTCCCTCCTCCCTCCGCGCTCCAGCTTTTTTTTCCCCTTCCCTCCACCCGACCTCGCGAGATCCCTCCGCCGGGACTTCGCCTGACGTGGTTGTGGTTTTTTTGCCTCCTCTCCTCCGTACGCTTGTCCCCTCCGCCGTGGTGGCAAAAATAAATAAATGAAAGGGATGGGAGGAAAAGGAGTCCCTTGAAGGAGGGGGGGACTAGGAGGCAGGAGCCACGTGGTTTAAGGATAAAGTGGGCTCAGGAGAGGGGGAGAGAGATGCAGGTTTCCATTTTTTAAAAAAAGAACTTTTTTAGTTGTCTGTATTTCCAGTTTTTGGAAAGACGCGGTGTGATGGCTCAGCGGACTCTCTTAACGACTGTGCGACTCACTTAGCGACTGCAGTGATTCAGGGTGAAAAAGGTGGTACAATCACACGTGACTCGCTTAACAACCAACTGCTCGGCAATAGAAAGTCCAGTCCCCAATTGTGACCGTAAATTAAGGACTACCTGCGGTATAAAAATTGAATAAATTACAGCAACGTAAAAAATGCTGATATCCAAGCCAATAATTTGCAAGTAGCTAGCTGCAAGGGAATGCGGTGGCTCAGTGGCTAAGACGCTGAGCTTGTGGATCAGAAAGGTCGGCAGTTCGTCGGTTCGAATCCCTAGCGCCGCGTAACAGAGTGAGCTCCCGTGACTTGTCCCAGCTTCTTTCAACCTAACAGTTCGAAAGCACGTAAAAAATGCAAGTGGAAAAATAGGAACCACCTTTGGTGGGAAGGGAACAGCATTTAGTCATGCCAGCCACATGACCACGGAGACGTCTTCGGACAACGCTGGCTCTTGGGCTTTGAAACGGAGATGAGCACCGCCCCCTAGAGTCGGGAATGACTAGCGAGGGGAACATTTTTACCTTTATTTCCAGTTTCCACTCTTAATTCCTCTTTCTGGCTGTAGGTAAGGTCTTTAGTGATTATCTTTGTCTTTATCTTATTTCTTTTGAACAATTTTTTGAATAATTTTGAATAAGATTATTTCTTCTGCCACCTTTCCAAATTCTTCTGTTTCTTGTATTAACTTAGTTCCCGTTGCAGAGATGCAAATGTTTCCAAAAGAGGAGACTTTTAAAGTGCATCGAAGTAGTTTTTGGAATGGTGTGCGAAAGAGGAAAGCCACAAAATGTGAAGTTGAGACTGAGCTGCAAAGTTGCTTCCACTTCTGTGAATTAACCAAGTAACCTTCCTTTTTTTTTAAAAGAAAGATTTCAAAGTTAGGACACAGACATGGACAATAACTGCTCAGAATCTCCTGCAGCTAAGAACACCCCCCCCCCGGGGGGGAAGTTTTGGCCCTAAGGGA